CTTCCCTTGCTGCAACTTGAGCCCATTGCTCCTTGTTCTGTTCTTGTTTTGACTCAACTTGTGCAGTGTCCTCTTCACTGATGAAATTAAGCCCCCTTAGTCTTTATGCACTCTTCCATGTTAAATAGGTAACTGCCCCTATAGGCGTTGCAAAGGTGGCCGTTGTGCCATCTTTGTGTCATCAGGTGGCAGAGAGAAACAGGCTATGTCTACGCTCGGTGTTCTGAAACCCATGAACACTCAGAATGATTAATAGCCTGACATCATTTATAAATAAAGCTGCTTTCTTAAGAAGCCCTTGGAAAAACTGTATAAATATGTTTTGGAAACCTCCCATTTTCTATTCCTGATCTGCCTTGATCTCAATGTACGTCAGGTGCTGTTGTAGGAAAGCACTGATGAAACTGTGGACCAGTGTCTATTTATCCTTTGGAGTGGTAGGAGCTGTTTCACTAAATCTGTACTGTTTATGTGGGAAACCAAGGTGTAAAGAGAGCAAGCGGCTTTTACTCCAGGGTTGTATAACAAGCTGATGGTATGGTCAGGAATTGGATCTTGGGGATCTAGTCTCCCAGGCCACAGCTCTACCCATGAGATGGTTCTTTCTTCTTTTCAGGATGGGATTTGCTTTTCAGTTGCTTCCTTGCTGCCACTGCCTAATTTGTTGAAGAGAGGCAGACTACCAAATGATATCCCTACTAATTATGCCATTTGGGGGCAGGGAGTGGAGACCTGTCATAAAATATACTCCAGTTTAACCTGCGGCTAGCTGGTAGAGGAGAAGCTGAGATGTCAGGGAGTGTTGCTTTTTCCTGCCACAGTGAAAACTCAAACTTAAGAAAAAACAAGGATGTGAAACAGCTGTCATTTTACTTAATCTCCCAAATCACTGTCAGCAGTGGGCTGATGCCCAAATAGCTTGCCTCTGTAGTGCACCTAAACAGGCATTATAAATGCTCTTCTCATTTTCGACTTATTGTTATTTTGCAGGGAAAGGAATGTGAACACTGCAGACTTAGGAGGTTTCCTCCAAAAACTCAGGTGAGCCAAGTTTCATGCAGGCTTCCTGGTAGCTCTATGCCCCTACAGGTGTTGCAGATGTGGCTGTCGTGCCACATCTGTGTCATTAGGTGGCGAAAGAAAGAGGTTGCGTCTACGCTCAGTGTTCTGAAACCCATGAGCACTCAGAATGATTAACAGCCTGACATGCAACTCTTTTTTCTCTTAATACTAAATGATGAAAAGTGCTGGATTCACGCTTATTGATTCCCGCTCTGGCCAGAGCAGGCTTCACCTGTGGAAAAACAGGACCATTTTTTCCATCTCACCCTGCCAATGAAGACTTCCTCTGTGGAGGAGATTGTTATTCACTTAGTACCTATTCGATTTGGTGCAGATTATAGTGATGCTTTTCATTACCTGGATGCTTGTGCACTGAAACGTTGCGCTAACATTCCCCAAATCATTTTGTGTTAGATGGACAGCTGTCAGATAGCTATCTTCAGTGGTTACAAATGGGACTGAATTTGATTTTGCAGGCTAGAAGTGATGAGTACTGTATAGTTCATCTGGTCTTCCCTGAGGCTAGCGATTTCTACAGTAGCGTAAAGGGGAGGAGAAGGTCCTATTTTTATGTTATTGCTTTGAACATTATGTGCATGTGGGGGGAGGGGTTGGGATTACATTGTTTGTATAAGGAAAAGCATGACAATTAAGCTTTGTGTTATGCATTGATTGTGTGTACTGCAACATACCTGGCAGTCAGCTATAGCTGTCCTTATGCTTATCCTGTAATGGAAATAAATGTTCTCCCCACCATACATACACGTATGCCCTTCTGCTTGCAAGTGTGGGCCTCAGCCCAAACACTGCTTTCCTGGAATGTGAAAAATTCTAGGTCCAAACTTTGCAGTTTGTTTCCATCTCTCTTGCTTTTAAATCCTTACAGTGACAAGTTTTTAGAATGGTTGTAATCGTTATGCACTGTCTCTTTTGTTTGTTGGTTTAGAAAAATGTGAATACAATGCAGGCCGAGAAGTCTTCATCATAGAAGTCAGGTGAGCTTGGACATGGTAAATTCTAAATCATGATTCTAGAAACCATCAGCAGGAGTTGCAGTTTGCTTGCTAACATGTCAGCAATCCAGTGCAGCATAGACAAAGCAATTTGCTTCTTAAGATGTGTTCAACTTGAGCACCTTCTAAGCCTTTGTCTAGATGAGGATTAGATAGACTTTTAGAACCAGATATTCAAACATAGGCTGCAAAACCTTTTTAGATTGGAGAGAGAATGGGGGCAAAGACATGAGAGCCATCGTGAACCTTTCTTTAAGATAAAGCACCTGAAAGCTGCAGTTATTACAGCTTTCAGGTTTTTGTATGGCATGCTTTACTCGATCAGAAATGGAGAGAGGGGTGATTCTACATTTAAATTGCAATGCTACAATTTTGGTGTGGGACTAGATGTTTTAAGTGGTGTTTCTCTGGTGTCCTGGGCTTGAGAGAGTTACAGCCGTGGATTTCATGGTTTGTCATTAGCGGGTAGAGATGGAGAGCCTGCATCTGCTCTGTTCCAAAACCTATACGATGAGTAGTAGTTTGACATTGTTTCAAAGTATGCCTGCTTTCTCCAGGGAGATGGTAGACTATGGAACAAATGTCCTTTGAAAGGCAGCTAATCGCAAGCTAGTTTTATCCATGTCAGGAGAAGGCCTTATCCTTGTGTACAAGGTCAAGTGGAAGAGACCATTCTATTCTTGGGTTCTCCTGAGGCCTCTGCTGCTGCCCCCCATGGCTTTGGGGAAATAGCTGTTTGGCATCCTGTTGTCTGTCAAATGCTGATAACGTTTCAGTTCCTCTCTTGAGTGTAGTGAGGTTTAACATTTGTAAAGCACCTGAAAAACAAACAAAATGCAACAAAAAATGGATGGAAATGCAACGAATGAGCCAGGAGTTTCAGAAATGGGAACCTAAAGTTAGGCAGCTTCCAGAGTGCCTGAGTTATTTAGAAGCACAGTTGCTGTAAATGGGAATTGTACTAAAAATCCCCATTCCAATAAGCAGTTTTGTTTTGTTTTTCCCCAGAAGTGCTCAGCCCTGGGTACCTTCACCCTTTAATTAGCACAATCACACATACCTTCTACTGTGCCTAGCTACAATTCTTAATTCATGGGGCTAGAAGTACTTGCTAATGAAAGATAAAAAGTATTGATTTACCTTTCCAGCCATAATACTCGATTCCTTCATAGTGCTTGCTTGGCTGAGTACTTTTTACAGTTTACAAAATTCTGGGCATTTATTCATTCACTTAGAAGTATTTGTGACTGTTCTGGTGGTGTACACATGGCTTGTATTATGCATTTCAATTATGGTCTTTGATGGGGAAGGGAGGACCAAGAAACACGTAGAACCCAGGAATGTTGCTGATTGCAGGCATACCAGCAAAATTAACAGTTCGCTGAATTTCATGTTTGACTGTAATTCTCAGTGGTCAGAAGTAGTTTTCAAAACCAGCCTGGCTTTGTGAAAAATTGATATTCCATGCTTTCTTTTCACAGGTTCACTTGAGGAAAACAGTATTGATTTTTTTTGAAATGTAATGCAAAGCTGTTGAAGGTAAGTATTATGACATCTTTTAGTAGCAAGAATAAAATACTCTAATACTTCGTGTTAGTGAAATGGCTGGTGCCAGTGAGTTGGAATACAAAAAGTAGAGTTGAAGTAGCATCTGAGGCTGGTCGTTTAAAGGACATGGACAGGTCAATAAAAAAGAAAATAACAGCTATACAGTCGATGCCTGTTGGCAGCAACACTGGGTAAGAGCAACAGCCACCTACCAGCCACCTTTCCCCTGGCAATGTTTTTCCTGCCATGCATCTTCTGTCTGGTAACAGCAACACAGCTGCTGCTTAAGAGCAACATTTGTGGATCAGGAGATGCTTGACCTTGCTGTGCTTAGCAGCCTGTGGACACAATGCCAAGAAGTCTCTCCCTTAAAGAGAAAGTTGAGATTATTCAGGCCTGTCAAGTTCCTGGAGCCAATCAGAACCAAGTTGCCGTCAAGTGGGACTTGCACAGATCAGTCGTTTGTAGAATATGGAAGCAGAAGGATAAGCTTTTGTCTGATTATGAGGATGGCCAGGCAAAGAGCAATCGCAAACGCAAACGGGAGGGGAAAACCCCTGATGTCGACAGGGCACTCTTTCACTGGCTCAAGGCAAAGAGGGCAGAAGGAGCGGTGC